AACTAGAAAGGTCTGGTGGCTTAGTAGCTGTGGCAAAAAAGTAAGGAACTGTGCTGTAATCCCGAAGGTATGCGGTTTGAATCCAGCAGCTGCTCCACAGGAGGATAGGCAATGTTCTCCTACACAATTAACTGCCTCTGAAAGCCTGCTTGGAGTGTCAGCTATGGGTCAGTTCCAACTCGATGGCACACAATAATACATATGTGTACATTTATAACTTTGAAAGAATGCTTTAATTTACTCACCTTGGTGCAAATTCATCAATTGTCAGTCCAGCCTGGAGTCCAGTTCGACAATACTCCAATCCATCTGCGATAGTATAGGCCAGTTCCAGAATGGCATCAGCCCCTGCTTCCTGCATGTGGTACCCACTAATTGAAATGGAATTAAACTTTGGCATATGCTAAAGGAGGGGGAGGAAAGAATATTTAAAATCTTAAATAGTTCTACCAAATTAATTTGTTGGTGTTGTTATGTGCCGTTGAGTTCCCTGTGACTCACAGCAATCCTATGTACAACAGCTATGGACCCTGCCATATCCTGAGGCAGTTTCACCATCTCTGACACACTTAACGTAACTTCCAGAGTTACTGTGTCAAGCCATAACATCTGGAGTCTTCCTCTCCTGTGCTGGCTGTCCCTCCACCCTTCCAAAAATGATGTCGTTCCCTGGGGACTGGTCCTTCTCAGCCATATGCCCAAAGTATGTAAGACAGAGCTTCAAAATCCTTTCCTCCAAGGAGCATCCTGATTTCTCCCTCTCCAGGACAGACTTTTTCTCTTGGTGGTCCATGGTATGTTTAATAGTTTTCTCCATCCAGGAAGTATTAAAAGAAGATGGAAAGAATATACTGAGTCACTGTATCAAAAGGAATTTGCAGACACAGAAGAATTTCATAAAATAACATATGAGCAAGAGCCTATGGTGATGAAGGAAGAAGTTCAAGCTGCTTTGATGGAAATAGAAAAAAATAAGGCCCCAGGAACAGATGTTATACCAATTTACATATTTCAGCTCACAGATGCTGCCTGCATGTGCTCACCAAGTTGTGCCAAGAAATCTGGAGTTGGCCAGCCACTTGGCCAACTGACTGGAAGAGATCTACATTTGTTCCCATTCCAAAGAAGGGTGACCCAACAGAGTGTGGAAACTATAGAACAATATCATTCATTTCACATGCAAGCAAGATTCTACTGAAGATTATCCAAAAACGACTGGGACAACACATCAGCAGAGAACTGACAGAAGTCCAGGTAGGGTTTAGAAGGGGTCGTGGTACTATGGATATTGTAGCTAATGTTAGATGGATCTTAGCTTAAAGCAGGGAATACCAGAAGAATGTCTATCTGTGTTTCGTTGATTATGCAAAGGTATTTGACTGCATGGATCATAACAAACTGTGGCTGACTCTGAGAAGAATGGGAATCCCAGAACACTTGATCATGCTAATGCGAAACCTATACTTGGGCCAAGAGGGAGTCATCAGAACAAAGCAAGGAAACACTGCATTGTTCAAAATTGGGAAAGGTGTATGCCAGGGATGGGTCCTATCTCCATACCTTTTCAACCTGTATACAGAAAAGATTATCTGAGAGGCTGGGCTCTATGAGGAGAAGCGTGGCGTCAGGACTGGTGGAAGATCTATTAACAACCTGCTTTATGAAGATGACACAACCCTGCTTGCAGGAGGACCTGAAATGCTTGTTGCGGAAGGTCAAGGGCTGCAGCCTTCTATATAAATTGAGGCTCAATGTCAAGAAGACAAATATTCTCACCACTGGACCAACTGGCAGCACCAGGATGGATGGTGAAGAGATTGAGATTGTTAACAACTTTAGTCTGGTTGGCTCCATGGTCAACACTCTTGGCACCAGTTGCCAGGAAATAAAAAAAACGTATTGCAATGGCAAAGTCTGCTGTTAGGGACCTCTCCAGGGTATTGAAGAGCAATGGTGTCACTCTGGAGACTAAGGTGCATGCGATACAGGCTATGGTCTTTGCAATCACTTGTTATGTATCAGAGAGTTGGACAATGACTAGGGAGGATAGAAGGAGAATTGATGTCTTTGAGCTGTGGTGCTACAGAAAGTATTGAATGCACCATGGACTGCCAAGAAAACAAACAGATTCATCCTGGAGAGGGTTAAACCAGGCTGCTCCTTGGAGACAAAAATTCTGGGGCTTTGTCTGACATACTTTGGACATGTTGTAAGGAGGGATAGGTCCTTAGAGAGGGACATCATGCTTGGAAGGGTGGAGGGACAGCGCAGGAGGGGAAGACCCTCTATGAGGTGGACTGATTCAGTGACTGGGGTAATCGGGATGGATGTGTCAGAGGCAGTGCGATCGGCACAGGATAGAGCAAGGTTTAGGGCTGTTGTACAAAGGGTTGCTATGAGTCGCAAGTGATTCAATGGCACATAACAACAAGAATTTAAAAATTAAAGAAGTCTATTCTCTTTTCTTTACTGTTTGTTGTTGTTAGGTGCCATAAAGTGGATTGTGACTCACAGTGACACTAGGAACAACAGATCTGAACCCTGTCCTATCCTATCCAACCTCAAATCTCTGACACATGCAAGCTTATTGCTAAAATCACCTTGTCAATCCACCCGGTTGAAGGTCTTCCTCTCCTTTGCCATTCTACCGTATTTCCCATCACGATATCCTTCTCCAAGGACTAGCCTTTCCTAGCTCCATGCTCAAAGTACATGGTTTAAAATTAAGAAAGGTGTGTGTATAGGTTGTATCCTCTCATGATACCTATTCAATCTGTACACTGAGCAAATTATTCGAGAAGCTAGACTTTATGAAGAAGAATATGGTATTAAAATTGGAGAAGAGTCATTAAAAACCTTTGATGTGCAGATGACACAAGCTTGTTTGCTGGATGTAAAATGGAGTTGAAACACTTGCTGTAGAAGAGCAAACACTACAGTTTTAAATATGAATTACATGTCAATGTCAAGGAAACAAAAATTCTCACCACTAGACTTCTGGGTGATATCAGAATAGCTGGAGAAAAGATTGAACCTGTCAATGACTTCTTCTTACTTGGATCCACAATCAATACAGAATCAGGAGACATATTGCACTGGGAAAGTGTTTAGTCACAGACCTCTCCAAGTTCCTGAGGAGTAATGGTGTTAGTTTGAGGACTAAGGTGCACTTCATTCAGACCATGGTCTTCTCAATCACTTGCTATGCACCTGAAAACAGGACAATGAATAAGGATGACAGAAGAAAAATTAATGCCTTTGAGTTGTGGGGTTGGAGTGGAGCACTGAATAATACCCATGGACTGACAAAAGAACAAACAGCTGTCTTTGAGAAGATGCAGCTTGAGCTCCTTGGAGGGAAGGATGGCGAAGCTTTGTCTCAGATACTTTGGGCCTGTAGCCAGGAAATGTTATTCCTTGGAGGACATCATGTGGAAAGGGTGGGGGTGGGCGTGGGGGAACGATGAAGGAGAGAAAGACCCTCCAGGCGGACTGACACACAGTACTGACAGCTGTTTCTTTGCTGTTTAATGGTGACGATATTTATTAAGGTTCTTTCTGCTGTTATCCCTAAAAGACCTATATTCTCACTTCTCTAAAGCTTCAAACTGTATATTTTATATATCCTAACACATACACCAAGAAGTACTATTCTTCCCAAGAATTAACCAAACATAAAATAATAAAAACCAAATCAAAGGAACTTGGAACTGTGGTTAAGAGCATGGATTCATATGAAGTGAGTTGTATCTCAAGTTAAATTCTATCTATGTACATATAGGTGATTTACTCAATCTGACTATTCAAACCAAAAAATAATGGCACCTTCCTTGTGTGATAAATTTAAGATTAAACGAGATGATTCACCTGAACTACTTACCATAATGCCTGCATACAGCAAGCACTCCAAAAAAAAGTTATTTGTGAGTGTATAACATGTTATTTACATTTTAAGTTTAAGAGATTTTGTTTATATCTATCAAAAAGCTCTTGAAAAATGTTATATTCACGCAAACACAAATAGAGAAGATATGATGTGTTGATCTATTACCAAGGAATGCCAAGAGTTAATGCTAGAGAAGCTCAGGAAGGGGTTTTCCTCCTTACTGCGGGATAGAAGGTTCCCCTACGGTAAATACCCTGAATTCAAGCTTATAGTTTCCTAAACATGAGAAAATAAGTTTTAGTTCTTGAAAATAAATTTTACATAGTTTTACCACAAAAGCTGTACGAAATATGGATTTTAGGCAACTGGAACCTGAATTATGTTTGGAATTAACTATAAGCAAGAGGCAAGGAAGCAAACAGGTGCTTCCCACTGAGAATAGCTGAGTAGCTGAATCTAAGAATAACACAAAGTTTATAGTTTACAAATCACTTCTATATAATATTATTTGGTTGGTATGGGCAATAAGCAATTTGGTCACTTATGAGAGCCCTGGTGGAACAGTGGTTAAAGTGCTTCAGTGCAAACTGAAAGGTTGGTAAACAGAATTCACTTTGAGAGAGAAGAGTGTAACAGTCCCTTCCACAACAAAAGAGTTCTATCGTACAGGGTAACTATGACTCAGAATTTACTTAATGGTAAAAGACTTTCTTTGAAAACATTTTGAATAGGAAAGTAAGTAATTTTGAACCTGTGGACAGCATTAGGACCTTCACAAGGTGAAATATCCAAGTCCACAAAGCAAAAGCTGCTACTCTGTACCCCAAAAACCATTCTCCACCTATTCTCACAATGCCTGATTAACGATTCACAGAGCCGGTGTAAAATATTATTATATTTAAACTCCTTTTTTAACTTATGTGTGCTCATTAAAACTAAGTGGCCACTCCATGAGTTTCTCCTAGAAATTTACCTTAAATCAGATGAACTGGGTTGTACATCCAAACACAGGCACCTGCACATGCGTGCACGCAACCTGTTTCCTTAATCATGACACATTAACAAAGGTGGATTAAAAAGATAAAAAGAGTCTAGTCCTCAATGACGTTATAGATACAAGAAAAAGCTTTCCAGCACACTTTTTGACTGTGAAAGAAAAAAAAAATCACATCTATTTAATGTAAGCTACCACTATTTGGTTTTATTTGTTTTCACTATGCACTGCTAAATTCTACTGTATGCTTATTTGCAATAATCAAAAACTGATAGAAATGTGCACTGCCTGGCAGTTTGAATCTGCTAGGGGTGCCTCTGGAGAAATATAGACACTCTTCTTCCATATGATTTACAGCCTCAAAAATCCACTGAATGGTCAACTATGAGGTTGTGACATTGACTTTGATAGTTGTATGAATAAGAACTAGCCTACAACTCAGCTTTTAGCAAAAATTAGGCTGATATCTTTAACCATCTCTAGGACATCAATGTCCACTTTTCAACTGAATCTGAATTCTGGGCATAAATGAAAGATTATCAGTTAGAAGGTCTCTCCCAGAGACCATCCTTTAATAGCTGGAACATGGAACATACAAAGTGTGAATGCTAAAAACTTTGTGATATTAGGAGAGGCCATTCTTTAGAGAGGTGCCTAATGCTTGGAAAGGTGGAGAGATGGTGAAAGAAAGACCCCTCACCTGGTGGACTGACACAGTCACTACAGCAATGGGCTTTAAAAAGTGTGTTAGAGATTATGAGGATGGCACAGGATAAGACAAATTGGGGTCATTATAAGTCGTACGCAACAGCACCTATTAACAACAACAACCCAGAGAACATACATTTTAATAAGTGAGAAGATTAATATCTACTGTTCAGTTATCTATAGGCTTACTATGCGTCAGAGAGCTGGACAACTAGGGATGATAGAGAATTGATGCCTTTGAGCTGTTGTGCTGGAGAAGAGTTTTGAATATACCATGGACTGCTAGGAGAACAAACAGGTTCATCCTAGAAAAGGTGAAGCCAGTCTGATCCTTGAAGAAAAGAATTCTGAGGCTTCATCTGACATACTATGGGCATACTGCAAGGTGGGACCAATCCTTGGAGAGGGACATCATACTTGGAAGGGTGGAGGGATGCAGAAAAAGAGGGAGATCGTCGATGAGATGGATTGATATAGTGACAGGGGTAATGAGGGTAGGAGTGTCAGAGACAGTAAAGTTGGCACAGGATAGAGGAAGGTTTCGGGCTGCTGTACATTGGGTCACTATGAGTCGCAAGCAACTCAAGGGCATATAACAATAATGACAGACAATGAATATATTTAAAACAAAAAACTAACAACCACAAAAAATCTCTTGCTCAGATTCAGCAGACTTAAAATCAAGCTACAACTTTCTGTAAAACTCAAAACATTCATAGAACTACAACAGGCCCTCTAATAACCACAAACTATACCTTTGCTGTATACTGGAAGATGTCAGCAATAATTTTCATAGATGGTTCTGGAGGAAAAATGTAGGTATTTCTGACCATGAACTCTTTAAGTATGTCATTTTGGATTGTGCCAGTAAGTTTCTCTTTGGGTACACCTTGTTCTTCTCCAGTTACTATAAAATTTGCCAGAACTGGAATAACTGCTCCATTCATAGTCATAGAAACGGACATTTTTTCTAAAGGAATTCCATCAAAGAGAATTTTGGTGTCTTCTACAGTGTCAATAGCAACTCCAGCCATGCCAACATCACCACGCACACGGGGGTTGTCTGAGTCATAGCCACGATGGGTTGCCAGATCAAAGGCAACTGATAATCCCTGTTGACCAGCTAAACAGATAAAGAAAAATAATGGAGAAGTAAAGATTCTGGCATTAAAATAAAATAACTTTTTAAAACAATACTAGAAATGGAAATTCATTTCACCATCGTCAACTTTTATAATAAATATAATTTTCATGCTCATGTATGTCCAAATAAATTTCAAGATACCTCACTTTCTAAAACGGTAGGTTATTTTCACAGTGTAAATATACAAATTAAGTTCCAGGTCCACTGCTGAGGTAATTCTCACTCACAGTAACCCTACCAGACCAAGAAGAAGTGCCTCACAAAGTTTCCAAGAAGCAGAGTGCCACATCGATTTTGAAATTAAAATATACAACAGTAAATATAATATGCTATACATCAAATATAGACATGCTTTGCTAAGACATGCTTATATTTAGATTTTAAACATTAGTTTATTATTAATCAGAAAATAACAATTACCATAAATTAATGCCAAGTTTCCCTTGAGTTATTTGTATTATATTATCATTTATTTTTTTACTTTGTTTGCATAATATTGAAATAATTTTTCCTTCCATTTTTTACTCTGGAAATTTTAATTAAAAGTTCTTGAGGTTTTGTTTTTTTTTTTAATTAGAAGTTTTCAGAAGGAAAAGACAATTTTTTTGTTTGTTTGTTTTTCACATACCTCACCTCTCCTAATTTCTTTTACACTATGTAAAACTGTTTATACCATATAACTATTAAGTATAAAAACTTAGGGATTTATTTGGGATCACTATCTTTTTGAATATTTAAGTTGAAAAATCCATATTCTTTCAGAGTGTAATTTTAACTATAGAACTGTAAAATAAGTATCATCTTCACAAAAATTAAGCAATATCCCCTTCAAGAAAGCCAAGAGGAGAAGTTTTAAGTTTGACTCTAAATATTAGTAAAATCTCACCCTTAATATTATCCTTATAGAACTTGTTGCTTTCTTCCACCGTACTAAAGCCAGCATATTGGCGGATGGTCCAAGGCCTATAGGTATACATGGTGGGATAAGGTCCCCGTGTGAATGGCTTCACTCCTGGAAGTTCCTCAGGTAACTCCTTAGTATCCCTGCTGGAATACAAAGGCTTGATGGATAGCCCCTCTGGGGTATGCCATATTAGGTCTTCTGGGTTTTTGCCTTTCAGCTGCTTTTTAGCCAGGGTGGCCCATTCTGGGTGAAGAGGTTGTTGCTGATGTAGAAGGCGCTGCCATATCAGACTGGAACATGATGATTCTTTCACGTGCTTCAGGCGGTGAGGTGAAAGCAAAAAAAGCTGAGTCTGAGCCCTCCACATGATGTGGCATGGAAATCACTCAAAAGGAATTTGATCTACAAAAAAAAAAAAGTATCATGTTAAGTACAGAATAAAGAAGGGCAATTAGGACTACCAGTCAGAAGGGAAATGAGAAGGAAGAGAATGTATTAGTCTGATTTCTTCACTTGCCTATTTCCTACCTCTGGCATGAGATGTTTTATAAAACTTCAGTCTCTCCCCTCCATACTTACTGACGTTGTTCTAGTCTCAGTCTTCTTAGCTCTTATCTAAAATTCTTATCTTCTTCAAACCTTTCTGCACACCTGCATCAAAACAAATTTTGATTATCCTATATAGTTGTCTCTAAATTTTTTCAAAGGTTTTGCAAAATGTAGAAGATATATAGTATACTCCCTTAACTACATTTATTAATTTTTTAAGTTGTTGTTTTGGTTTTTGTTTTTTTTTTTTAATTGCATACCTACTGTACAACAGGAACAGCAGTGGCTTAATGGTAAGGAGTTGTGCTGCCAACCCAAAGGTGGTGGTGGTGGTGGTGGTGGTGGTTAGGTACTGTCTAGTCAAGTATGACCACAGCAACCTTATGAACAAAAGGCCTAAACCCGGTTCTATCCTATGCCAACCCCACACTTCCTGACCACAAGCCCATTGCAGCAATCACCATGTCAATACACCTGGTTCAAGGTCTGTCTTCCTCTCCTTTGCCGACCCTCCACCATTCCCAACATCATGTCCTTCTCCAAGGAATAGCACCTCCGAAAAACATGCCCAAAGTATGTGAAGCAAAGGCTCATCATTTTTGCCTCCAAAGAGCACTCTGTCTGCACCCTATTTAAGACATTATCTGTTTGTTCTCTTGACTGTCCACGGGATTTTCAGTGCTCTTCTCCAACACCACAGCTTAAATGTATCAATTCTTTTTCTGGCAACCTTATGCACTGTCCAGTTCTCAGATACACAGCAAGTAATCATAGAGACTATGGCATGAATCAGCACGTTAGTCCTCAAACTGACATCATTACTCTTCAATAATTTGGAGAGGTCTCTAACTGCAGATTTTCCCAGTGCAATGTGTCTCCTTATTTCCTGACTGCTGGTACAAAGGGTATAAAATGTGGATCCAAGCAAGATAAAGTTGTTGACAGTTTCAATCTCCTTTCCATACATGATGACGCTGTATATTAGTTCAGTGGTAAGAATCTTTGTCTTCTTGACAATGAGATGCAATCCATACCAAAGGCTTCATTCCTTGGCCTTCTGCAACAAGTACTTCAAGTTCTTTTCACTTTCAGCAAGCAAGGTTGCATCATCTGCATAATGCAGGTTATTAATGAGTCTCTCTCCAATCCTGATGCCACACTCCTCTTCATAGAGTCCAGTTTTTCTTGGATAATTTTCTCAGCATACATATTGAATAGATATTAAGAAAGAATACAACCCTGATGCACTCTCTTCTCCGTTTGAAACCGACCCAAAGGTCTGCTGTTCAAAACCATCACCTGCTCTGCAGGAAAAAGATGGGCAATCTTCTCTCATGCAATTACATTGTTTCTGAAAGTCAAATGGAGGGTCTATAATGCATTGGTTCCAACTCAACAGTCCTTAGCACTCCTGGGTTCTAGAGAAAAAGTTGTGATCAGCTATGAATTTAAGACTTCCATACTCTGGTGTTTGCTCCCTCTCAGACACATCTGCTTTTGCTCCTACCACTGCTCATCTTTCTCTTGCAGAGCAGCTGGTGAAAGTGAACTGCTGTCCTTTCGGTTAGCAGTTCAACACATAACATACTAAATCGCCAGGCATTATCAATGGTTTCCTGCAAATGCCAGTTCTGTGAATTCATTCTTGCTGTTCTGTCTGCTTAAAATGTATTTTAGTTAATTCAGCGCTGGAATCTTCTCCAATATACAGACCTATGTGTGGCAGGTACTTCACAATTTTAATCTCATACTACCAAGCATTTGTTGTTGTTGTTTTTTCTATCAAACTGAAACTGATTCATAGCTGACCCACCAGTGGGATTTCAGAGGTGGTAAAATCACATTGAAGTAGTTGTCCATCCCTCTCTCGTGGAGAAGTTTATGGATTTAAACTGTGTGTTTTTAGAATCATAGCACAGCTTCTTACCACAAGGCCACCAGAGAACCCTTACCAAGGGGATTGTTGTTTCTCTTGTTAAGTTCAGTCAAGTTTACCTCACAGAAACCCTATAAACAACAGATCTGGACTTGTCCTATCCTGAACCCCCAACCCTTAACTTTGATACATTTGAGTCCGTTGCCTCCGACACTGTGTCAATCTATCTCGTTGGGGGGTCTTCCTCTCATCCATTGAGTATTAATATTATCCTCATTTTACAGCTGAAGAAACAGAAGAGTCAGTCTGATTTCAAAGTGTTTATATTTAACTAATATTCTTACAGCCTCTTCTTGAGCCTCAGAGAGCACCCAAGACGAGCAGACTGTTCCACCTTTCATCTCTGGAACAACTGAAAAATTTATGGTTAGCCGCTAAGCACTTTCAACCCCATCACCACCATGGCTCCTCTATTTGATGTTAGAGGGTTGGTAATTTATGATAGCAAACAACCTGTGTTATGATTCAGGGTATGGTCTTTTCAATTACTTGCTATGTATCAGAGAGCTGGACAATGAATAAGGATGACAGAAGAGTGGATGCCTTTGTGTTGTGGTGATGGAGAATATCTTGTGGCCTGCCTAAAAAACAAAACATGTATCTTAGAAAATGTACAGCCAGAGTGCTCTTTGGAAGCAAGGATGGTAAAACTTCATCTCACATATTTGGGGCATGTAACTAAAAGAGGCTATTCCTTGGGAAGGGTCATCATGCTTGGAAAGGTGGCGTGTCAGCAAAACATAGAAAGACCCTCAAACACATGGACTGACACTGACTGCAGCAATCATGACAGATGGAGAAAAGAATAAAGTATCAACAATTTTCCCTGTATCCAGTCAATACCCTTGATCTCAGCAGTCAAGAAATAAAAAGCACTGTGAAAGTCTGTTATCAAGAGTGTCCCTAAATTACTAACAATCGATGAAGTCAAATTAAAAACTAAGGTGTACTTGATGCAAATCATGGTCTTTTCACTCACTAGCTATGCATCTAAAAGTTAGACAACGAGTATGGATGACAGAAGAATTGATGCCTTTGAGTTGTTATACAGGAAAAAGTACTGACTAGCCAAAGGAACAAACAGCTATGTCTTGAAGAAAGTGTAGTCAGAGTGCTCCTTAGAGGTAAGAAAGCAAAGCTTCATCTCACATATTTTGAGAATATCGGTGGGAGTTGCTGTTTCTTGGAAAGGGACATCATACTTAGAAATGTGGAGGGTGAGAAAAAGATAGGAAGACCCTCAACTAGATGGACTGACACAGTGTCTGCAGTAATGGGCTCAAGTGTGTCAGAGATTATGAGGATGGCAAAGTGAGGACTGCGAGGACAGGTCAAGGTTCAGTAATTTTGTTCATAAGGTTGCTGAGTTGTAATCTACTGGATGGCACCTAACAACAGTATTTATGGGCTTATAATGCAGTCCCATGTTGTCCCATGTTGTCCCATGTTGCGACTCAGCCACCCTATGTACAAGAGCCCTAAATGCTGCACAATCCTGTGCCAACCTCACTGTCTCTGACACACTCACTTCCACCACCCCAATCACAGAATCGATCCATCTCATAGAGGGTCTTTCTCTCCTGCACCGTCCCTCCACTCTCCCAAACATGTTGTCCCTCTCCAAGGACCAGTCCTTCCTTCCAACATGACTAAAGTATGTTAGATGAAGCTTTAGAATCCTTGACTCCAAGGAGAATTCTGGCTTCACCCTCTCCAGGACAAACCTGTTTGTATTCCTAGCAGTCCCCAGTATATTCAACACTCTTCTTCAGCACCACAGTTCAAAGGCATCAATTCTCTTTTTATCATCCCTAGTCACTGTCCAACTTTCCGATACATAGCACTGAGAAGACTGTAGCCTGGATCAGGCACACCTCAGTCTCCAGCCTGACATCATTTCTCTTCAGTACTCTTGAGAGGTCCCTGACAGCTGACTTTCCCAATGCAATTCGTCTCTTGATTTCCTGGCTGCTGGTACCAAGAGTGTTGACTGTGGAGCCAAGCAAACTAAAACTTAGCTATTTCAATTTCTTTATCATCCATACTGATGCTGCCAATTGGTCCAGTGGTGAGAATCTTGTTTTCTTGATGTTGAGCTTCAATCCATATTGAAGGCTGCAGTCCTTGACCTTCTGCAGCAAGTGCTTCGGTTCTCCTCAGTTTTAGCAAGCAGGGTTATGTCATCTGCATAATGCAGGTTGTGGATGACTCTTCCACCAATCCACATTTCTCCTAACCCAAAGTCTACACATCTCCAGATGTTCAAATCTACGAGCTGCTCTGTGGGGACAGAAACTTGATGGAGGGTTATTGTGAGTTGAAATCAAGTAGATGACAGTTTGAGGTGATTTTTGGTCAGAGGGTTGAGTGGTTTTAGTACTTGAAAAGAGTTTAATGGAGACATCTACAGTGATGGAATTGATCTCAAACACTAATTACATTGTTGTTGTTATTGTTGTGTGCTAATGAGTTAAAACTGACTCATAGCTGATCCTCCAGTGTGCTTTTAGGGGCAGTAAATTGCATGGGAGGGGACTGTCCATCCTTTTCCCATGGAAAAGCTGGTGGATTCAAATCATGTGCCTTCGAAGGAGACATCTACAGGGATAGTATTGATTTCAACACTGTTTACATAGAGCGGAAATTCATGACTTTAAATTTACCATTTATTGACTTTAGTGTAAGCATATTATCTATGTTAGTGTAAGCATATTATCTATGTTGTTGGTATGTGCTGTCAAGTTGCTTGCAACTCATAGTGACCATATATACAAAAGCCCTTAAATCTGCTCTATCCTGTGCCAACTTTACTGTGTCTGACATACCTATACCCATTACCCCAGTCACTGAATCAATCCATCTCATCTCATAGATGGTTTTCTTATCTTTCTCTGTCCCTCCACCCTTCTAAGCATGATGTTCCTTTCCAAGGACTGGTCCCTCCTTGCAACATGCCCAAAGTATGTCAGATGAAGCCTCAGAATCCTTTCCTCCAAATAGCAGCCTGGTTTCACCCTCTCTTGGATGAGCCTGTTTATTCTCCTGACAGTCCATGGTATATTCAACTCTCTTCCCCAGCACCACAAGTCAAAGACATCAATTCTCTTTCAATAATCCCTAGTTATTGTGCAGCTCTCTGATGCATAGCAAGCAATGGCGAAGACTATGGCCTGGATCAGGCACACCTTAGTCTCCAGATTGATGTTGTTGCTTTTCAGTAGTTTTTTAAAAAACACACAAATACTATCTTTAAAGAGACTCAAGTTTGTTTTTTCAGCAACACACAAAGATACAAAATTATAAATGTAGTATTATATTTATTCTCTTTAATCCATAAAAAAGTAAAAAATGTAAACAGTAATTTAATAACCAAGATTAGACTGTAAACAAGAACTATCATACTCATTTCACACTTGTACAATTTTCCTAAACCTGAACAAATGACAGAAAAGAATCCTGAGTAATAAGGAATTCTTGAAACCAGACCTTACTTTTAGATAAAAATACAGCTTGTTACAAACAGATAACAAAGAATAATGAATTCCATCCTTAGGCCTAAAAAAAGTATGCCTAAGAGTTTACATTTCAAAAGCAAATTCTGTCAATCTTTGGCTACTTACACGCGGTTCCACAAAAACACTGGAAGAAAGGTCAGCCACTCTCTCACCAGTGATGGCAACATTATATGCAAATTAAAAGTTAACATTTAATCATTCAACGTAGAAATATATCAAGATTAAAGTAATCAAGCTGTCTAAAACTTCACACGCACACAGAGAGAAGCTCCAGGAGTTCAGTCAGTCATATTTTGATTATCATTTTAGATTGTTTCCTATTTCAACTCTTTTTCTCACCACTACCCTCCTACAGAAAGAAAAGTCACCTTCAGTCCAATTACCTCTTAAAAAAAACTATGGCCGTTCCTGAGCAGTACAAACAGGTAAGGAGCTTGGCAGCTGAACAAGAACATAGAGGTTCCAGTCTAACCAAGGAAAGCCTGAATAATCTATTTCGGAAAAATCACCCACTTGGAAAGCGTAAGGTGCACAGTTCAACTCTGACACACATGGGTTAGCATGTGTTGGACTCACTCCGGCAAACGCGTTGGGAAAAGGTTTTGTTTCACATTTAGGCGCCTCAAGGGCAGCCAGTGAAGCCAGGCACTCCTTCGGGTTCTTAGAAATTGTTATCTCTGCCCTTAAGAGGAAAGCTTCAGGGTCCCCGCATGGCCAGGGAAATGACATCGCTCTCGTGATGTAAAAAGCACCATATCTGAACTCTCCAGGACCTCGCCAAAGATGACAGGTTAATAGAAGCAAGAATCTAAAGTTTAGACGACACGAAAGAGCGAGATCCCGTCATTTCTGGGCGGTAAAGAGGAGGTTGAGGATAAGGAATGGCCAGGTTGTTAGGCGAGTAGGATAAGAGGAAAAGGGGGATTAAGAAATGAAGCAATAAAGGAGGCTTAAGGGACCCAAGATGCAAATTCCTACTCACTGGCTGGCCTGTCTTCAACCTGTACCGAACCTACACGGTGATGGGGCGACTTAATAGCAGTGCCCCGTCCAAAAACACACAGCGCAAGTGCAAACACTAGTCTGGAGGCGTAGCCGGCGCCGCCCTCCCTCCAGCCAATCGGTTTACACGAAGTGCTGAGGTTAGTCGCCCCGAATCCAGCTACGAGCGCTTCCGCTTCGTCTATGTTCGCTTCCGGGTCCACTCCCTTTTTGATTGTTTGAGCGGGAGCAATCACTCTGTGCGGAGCTAACCTGAAGCCAGAAGAGAAGGCAGTGGTGAGTAGAGGGAGCTTTTAACCTGTTGCCCTCATGCACAGGTATGGGCTGTGTGGCTATTGCGTTTGCATTACATTCAGTGGTTTCTATTTGAAGAGTGTGAGTTGTTTTTCGCGGGGAAGGCGATCTGGCCTGATGTGCCTCCCGCCTCCGTGGATTGACTTTATTTAGGCTCACCAGGAGCGAGTGAAGAAGCAACAGCCGCACGCTATTCGCCTCTAATTGTGCTTAATCCGTTGTGCAGGCGTGGGTGAAATGTACTCTTTTAAGTGTCATTGAAGCTTGGGGTTACTGTTGTCAGCAGAGGTGCTATGGCAGGAGTCATCTGAGACGGCACACGTCGCGTGCACACAGGAAAGCCTAGACAGGATTTTGTTAACTTCAGCAAGCTAGTGCAGTTCGAATCCACCAGCTGCTCTTTGGAAGAAGAATGTGGCAATCCATTCTTAAAAGATGACAGTTTTGCTTAGTTCTCTGATCACTGTAAGTCCGATTTGCCATTACTGTGTTGTTGTTAGGTGGCATCAGGTCCAGTGCGACTCATAGAGACCCAATGAATAATAGATCAGAACCCTGCCCTATCCTTTGCCAACCTCACAGTCTCTGACAAACTCCAGCCCATTGCTGAGGTCGCTGTGTCAACGCACCTGGTTGAGGATCATTCTCTCCTTCCTGATCTCCTCATCTTTCTAAGCATGATGTCCTTTCCTAATAAATAGCCAATCCTACCAAAATGCCCAAACGATGTGAAATGTAGCTCTGCCCTCCTTGCCTCCAGTGGGCACTCTGGCTTCACTTTCCAAGGTTTGTCTGCTTATTCCTTTTGCAATCCATGGGATACTCTTTTCTATCACCACAGTTCAAGGGGATCAATTCCTATTCATCGTTCAGCTCTCAGATGCACAGCAAGTGATTGAAAACAACATGGTCTGAATCAGGTGTTTCTTAGTTCTCTAGCCTAACATCATTGTTCTTCAGTAATTTGTAGAAATTCCTGACTGCAGACTTTACAGTGCAGTACATCTCCTGATCTCCTGACTACTGGTACCAGGTGTAATGATTATGGATCCAAATAAGCTGAAGTTGTTGACAGTTGCTATTACCATGGCAGTGAGTTAATACTTCAAGCTGGTCTATACACATACCCACAGAGAGAGAGGGGAGAGGATATTCGTGGATCTGGCTCATGTGCTTGTGCAAACAAGTCCTAAATCTATATATAAGTCATACCTCAGGAGAGAGACATCTGAGGAGGCAGAATCCTTATCATCAACAGGCAGGCAAGACAGGGTCTAAGGCAACTGGCTTCAGAGGCTGACAAATCCATGGTCATCGTTGAGAAACTGAGTCACAGACAGCTGGCTTTGGAGACTGCCACCTCGAGGCTGAAATGTCCAAATGTCACTGTTAGGATTCATGATTACAAATAGCTGGCCTTGGATACTGATGACAAAATTGCCCAAAGACAGCAAGTACAATAGGCCACTAGTTTAAGTCTGGAAACAAGTCAGATAACCAGATGCACATCTGACAAAAAGCTCTCTAGCTTTTTGCCAGAGTTGAAATATAAATACTATGTAAGACACACCCCTAAGAACTACACTTAATCACAGAACACTAATCATGTTTTTACAGATACATCTGTAATCTTGCCTTATTAACGTCCTTGCAGTTAGCATTTATAACATATATAATGATTACATTATACTAAAGATCATGGTTACAATGACAAACAATTTTCATGAAAGGATCCCATTAAAAACAACACCATTTTAAAGTTTTCTATTATTTTAAATTTAGAACAAAGCAGTCTTTGAAACAAAATATGCAATGCTTTTTATCACTTTTTTCCTGTCGTTTTAATCTCCATAGATTTTCAAAGTATATTGTTCCATTTAGATCAGTATGTCTGGCAAAAAAAATCCATCCAAGAAGAATTCTCAGCAGTTAATAAGAAATAAAAAAAGAAAAATTGGTGATGAGGAAATCGAGTCAGAGAAAGAGGTAATGAACATATCAAATTTATCATGCAGAATTCTTTTCTTAAAAATAGAATTTGTTCTAGAGAGAGATGTTTAAAGAAATATTATTTGCTAGAAAACTTAAAAACTAAAATCTGTATTTTTTTGTTTTTCTAGAAATTATACTAATTTATACCATAGTGGAAGAGTTTTTTTGCGACATGATTTGAAAAGTCCTCAGAAAGTAATTGTTTACTTCAGTTTTAAAAAATAAGCATTAACATCAGAATTCTTTGAAAAGGACTGAGTCGTAGACCACTATTAAGTTATGAAATGAAAAGACTAGAAATTAAGTATACAGATTCTTATATTTATATGTCAAAAGGCCAAAGATGTTTTCTTGGAAAGGAGATTTACTATTACCCAAAAAAACCCAGAGAATGGTTTGGGAGGAAATTACTGTTCCTACCATAATTTTACCCTTCTTTCATAAGTGGGAGCTCTGATGGGGCAGTCTGCAGGGAGTTAGCTGCTTAACCCAGAGTTGGCACCTTTCTGCTGCTTGGAATTCACCAGCAGCTTTGAGGGAGGGGAAAAAAGGTCTTCTGTTCAATTTCTAGCCTCTAAACTCAGATGGAGGATTAACTGTGGATGAGTTAGACTAGAAGACATTGAGTTTGAGAGGGGTTTTTTCCCCTCTGATACATGGGTTAATGAAAAATTTTTTCTTTGTTTCACCTTGCTTATTAAGCAGTATCTGCTTGTTGGTTAAATGTCACTTCATTGACATAGTGAGTGATGATTTATTAAAGCATTCTTGGATGCTGCATAAATTTACACCATTAGCCAGGATAGTTTTAGAAGGGCCTCTCCTCTGCAAGTGATAACCACATACCTTCTGTAAAGAGGCAATATTATTTTTCTGGCTTAATGTATAGTGAACTGCACTTCTAACCCAAAGACCATATGTCTCAGGAAGTTCAAATCCACCAGCAACTCCATGGGAAAGTGAGGGGAAATCTCCTCACATTGTAAAACAGCCTGAGAAACCAGATGTAGGCTTACTATGAATTAGAGCCAACTTGATGGTAGTTTGAGTTATCTGACCCAAAGATACGTGAATAGTCACGGCTAGTCATGGACATAGGATAGACTCATGGCAAACCAACAGGAAAAGCAGTATCTCTTTATTTGATGTTTAACATTCTTAGTATCTGTGTGTCTTTTCCTCTAGGTTGGAAACACAGTGAATAGAAGAAAACATAAAAAGCGTTTATCTTCTCAAGGTATTTATTATCTATATCTATTAACCTCAAGCTAATGATAATTTGCGAACTTATTCTCAACATCTTGCTTGTGAGTTTTAAGAGGTAAAAGCTAGTAGAGAGTAGAGAGCCCACATTAACTTTTATGCAGGACGCTTTATAACTGGTTAGTTATTTTGGTCAATGAATTTTACTTGCTATATCTAGCACAATCCGGTCAAAGCTTTGATGCCGTTAAATGGACAAAAACTAGAGAAAATTATTTATGATAAAAAAATAGAAGTACTAATCTCACAAGATAAATGTATTGTTTATTCTGCCACCACAATATTAATTAGTTTAGAGCTACTTCATAAATTTGTTCAGACTTAATTTGAAGAAGTTTTCTTTACTTAAACATCACTGCTTCATGGAAACATTCCCTCTCCCTTCTCACACAGATAGGGTAAGTCCTCTGGTTTTGTAATTCCATAGCATACAATGCTTTTTCTTTAGGATGCCTTGTATACCTATAATTATAGTCTGTTTAGTATTTCTAATATTCATATGAATCATTAGTATATCTCTTGTTTACCTCAGTAGTTCTTATAGAATAGAATAGTATCTGTAAGCACAGTGGACAGTAAAAATAATCTGCCTGAGACTTGGCCAATCTATTTAAATCCAACCCAACTTTGTATAGAAATCATGTTCTAATATTTTCAATCATATTTTTTAAAGAATTTAGGTAATTTCTGAGAACCAAACTTGATTGATTTGTTGATTCCTAATGATAGCTTATTTCTTAAAATTATTTGAGTATAAAATTATATATAATGTTAGGGAGCTCTGGTGGCCTTTTGGTGAGAATCTGCACTACAATCCTGAAGGCACACAGTTGAAGGCCACCAGCTGCTCCACAACAGAAAGATGTTCAGTTTCCTCCTGTGCAATTAACTGCCAATGAAAACCTGCTAGAGGGTCAGCAATGGGTTGGTTCCAACTCTATAGTACACCACCACCACCACCGCAACAACAATGTAAATTAAAATTGTAATAGCTAGCATATCCATATTCAATAACTAGCATGTCATGTCTATGAAATAAAAACATTAAACATTTTGTAGAGCCTCTGAATATTTTGGTTGTCAATCTTATAAGCGTATTTACATAATTTTTTACTTGAATCAACTTTTTAAGTAAAAACATCTGCATTGATCACTCTCTTCTATCACCAGTGACAGGAAGAACAAAGCATACTAACTTTACTGCCAGGAAGAAAAAATCCTGGCAGCCTCTTTCAAAGACAAGCAGAGAATATTTGCAAGCCATGATAGATAAAACAATAATGTAAGTGTAACTTCCTTTTCACTCCTTTATTTTCTAATTATAGATGTTTTAAATGTTATCTATTTTTATTTCTTTTATACTAGTTTATTTACAAAGTTTGAATACATTGTTTTTTACACCAGTTCCTTCCCATTTCCTTCACCTGTCACCCATCAAATTGTACGACTCCATGATTAATTCCCCCCACAAGCATCCTCACTCCTCTATCACTTCTCCTCCTCTTGGATCCTCATACTTATTCTGTAATAAGTTATATACAATATTTGTTATATACAATATTTGTCTATATAGGACTGAATTAATTCACTCAGCATAATGTTCATTTTATATTTTAAATGATAAAAGAGTATGCTTTGTGATTACATTGTTGTTGTTATGTGCTGTCAGGTCAACCAAGTGCCATAGCAGCTCTTTGAACAGTGGCTCAGAGTCTTGCCCTAGCCTGAGCCAGCCTCATTATCTCTGGCACACCTGACCCCATTGCCACAGTCACTGTGTCAGTCCATCTCATTCAGGGTCTTCCTCTTCTGCATTGCCCCTCTACCCTTGCAATCATGATGTCTTTCTCCAAGGACTGTTATCTTCTGGCAACCTGCCCAAAGTGTGTGAAGGAGCAAACTGATTTTACTCTCTCCAAAATAGCCTTATTTGTACTCTTTGCAGTCGGTGTTGTGTTATGTTCTTTACTCTTCTCCAGTGTCACAACTCAACGACATTGATTATTCTTTCATCCTTATTCATTGTCTGGCTTTCATATGCATAGCAAGCAATTGAGAAGACCATGGCCTGGATGATCAGGTGCACCTTAAGAACCTAGACTGTTCTTTAGCATGCTGGAGAGGTCCCTGAGAGCAGATTTTCCCCAGTGCAACTTGTCTTTTGATATCCTCACTGCTGGTGCCAAGAGTGTGAGTGTAGATTCCAAGCAAGATGAAATCATCCACAATCTTAGTCCTTTTTCCATCTGTCATAATGCTACCTGTTGACCTGATGGTGAGGATCTTTGTTTTCTTGACATTGAGATGTCTTCAAGTCTTTTTTCAGTTTCAGCAAACAAGTTGTGTCATCTGCATAACATGGATATTGATGAGTCTTTTCTTTCTCCAATCCTGATACCATATTCTTCTTCATAAAGCCCGGTTTCCCAGATGATTTATCCTTCATGTAGATTGAAAAGATAGGGAGAAAAGATACACATTCCTTTCGTTATTTTGAACCATGCAGTGTTCTCTCTTTCTGTTCAGACAAAAGCTGGTTGGTCTAGGTGTAGGTTTCACAGCATAATCAGGTGTTCTGGAATTCCCACCCTTTTTTTATTTCCTTTTTTTTAAAATGTATGTAGTGAAAAAGAAACATTATTTATTGGCTGGGAGCTATATATTTCTAAAGCTTTCACTGAAGTTTTAATGTAAAGTTTGGCTGTTTGTTAACTCAAGTTGACATGAGTGGCAATTAATTATGATCTTGTCTAGACTTATGAGAAGGCCACTTAACAATTTTAGGTTGATTGTCAGAGGATTCTGTGACCAAATAGGAATATGCTTTGTGTATTGCATTAATCAGTGGGTACTTGCAGGAAGTGTTGATTTGGTGTGACCATCCTTTTTACTGTCAACACCTCTCATCACTATCTTATTACTAACTAGTCTAGTCACACAGAGTGGCTGACATTTCTGTTAGTTTTGTAAAAAGCATCACCAGATGAAGTGCTCCTCAATGTCTGACTAGGTGACGACTCTTTTTTTTTTTTTTTTGGTCTCCTGCCATTGTTTGGTCCCTTATTTGTAAATAAAGCGTTGTCTAAAATGATGTGTGAAACTAATTGCCTTTACAAAGTATCTCGGCATTCCACAATACTTGGAATAACTAAATGAATAAAAAGGGGGGAACAACCCAACCCAAGTGTTATCTATGTTTGGATTTTTGAATTGAATGAAACGAATGAGGCTGCCTATCAAAAGCTAATCAGCTTTATTAAGGAATTTGCTGCTGACCGTTTGTGCAGAAGATGAATATTCTGCTTTATAATGAAAGGGTCTTAAGTTTTTATAAAATTCGTTTTTGTAGTCAATGACCAAAAAGAAGAGAAATTACTTCAGTATGGTGTGGATGAGCAAGACTTTAGTAATCTTATCCTAAGCCTTCAATTCCAGGAATCAAGGGAAAAGTAGAAGTTATTTCAGCAAACAGAGACAGGACTGGTTATACTCATTGATTTATGCCAAAAAATTGGAGGAAAACTACCAAACAAACCCAAGTGGAAGAAATACATATTTGTCTCCATCCAAAAAGAAGTGATCGATCACACCCAAGTAAAATCTTACGAGATTATTAAAAGACAGCTAAAGCAATACGTTGACACAGAATTGACAGAGAACTGACAGAAATTCAGACTGTTTCGATACTGTATGATATCATTGGAAATGAAAACACATACGGATCTCTTCCATTCAGTTGGCCAGGCTACTGTCCTCCATATTACCTTGCATAGACTGGTGAACATGTAGTGAAATAAATATCAAGTCTATTAACATGAACCAAATTAGTACCTGATGTTCTGCTAGCTATAAAAATTTCTGTATACTCTGCCTGTAGACATGCTTCAGGAGGAAGATGAATTCAAAGTAATGTAGAACATGGCAATTTCTGTGCTAGAAAGAATATGGAGAAAATAAGACATGATTCTACCGTATAGGAACTTAAGTCCAGAAAGATCAAATATGTCTATTAATAATCTTACAAAAACATTATAAAAGCTTTTTATTACTCTTTTTAAAATATAATTAACATAAAATACGAAGGAGAAGCACTAAAAAAAATCAGGGAAATACACAGATCGTATTATTTGTCTATCAAACTAATACCTTTTTATTCCTAGGACGATTTTGAGTAAAACTCTTAGAGAAAATGAACATGTTCACTACCATCTTAACTCCCTGAAGAAAAGGTAATCGATATGTACAGGTGATAATGGTTGTGAAATGTGCATTCTACCTTTACTGTTGCATGTGTTTCTGAAGTTAACACCTTTCAGAAGATATGTAAGGAAGAATCTAAAAATTATACATGTTTACTCCACAGGTCACTATTTTTATCAGGATTTAAAAAATTATTTTGTCAACCTCACCCTATTTTTTCAACTTGATTTTTTTATGATTTGAGTAGTTCACTATTATTTTCTCCTGATAACAAGGTTTTTTTTGCCTTCATATTGCATCTCATTATTTGCAGAAACAACAAATACAACTTTTGTTTTTTGTCTTGTGGAAAATCACAAAAAAATTGTTTTCAGATATTCTTAGCATTGACACCATGGCCATTGGTTTTCAATGCTTTATTCTCTTGTTCTTTTCATTGTGTAAGAATATTATACATTTCAGTTTCAGCTTTCCTCTAGCTATTCATAGCCTAGTATTCTAGAGAAGTTCTTTGGGGCTTTCATACAAAATTATATTTTTTTTTCTTTGTTTATCATTTTCAACTAGAATAACAAAATACAAAGGGTAGGGCTCTGTGTAGACTGAGGGGTATTGTATTGAGAAATAGAAGAAAGAACACTAGAAACTAACTTATAAATGGCTTAATGAATTGATAACATTAAAGAAGAAGGAGAACTAATCTAGTAAGAAAATACAAACCTAAAAACATAACTGTTTAGGTTATTTCTAGTATAAAACTGGAATTCATGTTTAGTGTATGACTGAATAGATGTATGTATTAGCTACTATTCATAGAAATCATTTGCATCAACAAGATAAGATGAGATTATGCTGCACCTGTAAAGATCTATATTTCAAGACCTTTCTTTTTACTTGCACATATTGCTTTCTTTACTTTCCAAAGTAACAGTACATTAGATACTTTTTACTGATGCGGCAAAGCCAATGATTTGAACCATCAGAGTCATGGTCTTTGTGTTAGAACTGCTACTCTAAGCATATCAAATTAATCACAGGATTTATGTTCCTTAACGCCACTGGAATTTGAAATTATTTAGTTGTAATAAATGATGTAGATATTCCATTTTATTGGTAATAGTCTCTCAAGTAATTGATGAGATTTAAGGTCTGGGGTCAGAGTTAAGTATCAAACCTTAGACTTTTAGACTAGTTCTCTAATCTGTACCCAAAATTCACAGTATGTGATAGATTGATATTCTGTAATATCCTGCAAAACCTAATTAGGAGAACTAAGGCAATTGTCACTTAAAAGTGTATATAAATTAATTACATAAGTAACAGAGACATTGTTATTGTTAAAAGAATTGTCCCATAGTTGAGATAAATCTTAATAAATATATTAAAAGATTAATGCTAATTTATCAAAGCGTTTCTCTTTTTTTTTTTTTTTTTTTTTACTTACATTGTTAACGACTGTAGAAAGAATGTTATAGCCCTTAGGCTTATGAAAGTTATGAACTTGGGGAGCAGATGAGAATACTATGCTAAAACAAAACAAAATTATTACTATTTTGCTCAGAAGTAAATGACTAATCTTATTTTACTTTGTCCTTAGATTGGTGCAGCTGTGTGAAACGCTAGAAGTCCCTCCCACAAAACTGAAAGATCTAACTGATGTACCTAGACTACTGAAAATGGAAATGGCACAACATAGGGCAAACAAAGAAAGCCTGACATTATTGCAAGTAAAGATTCTTATTTTTTCTTTAATAAATACTAGATCTTGAACAAGGTGATGATGGTGATTACATTTTTAATTAAGGCAAAATTGTTGCCCTCGAAAATAGAAGATATTGCTTGTGTTGTATTATAAAACTAGTACGCTTATAAAAGATGTATTGCAATGGGGAAGTCTGCTATTAGGGACCTCTCCAAAGTACTGAAGAGCAGTGGTGTCACTCTGGAGACTAAGATGTGCCTGATATAGGCCATGAGCTTTGCAATCAGTTGTTACGTTTCAGAGAGTTGGACAATGACTAGGGAGGATAGAAGGAGAATTGATGCCTTTGAGATGTGGTGCTGAAGAAGAGTATTGAATGTACCATGGACTGCTAAGAAAACAAACAGGTTCATCCTGGGGAGGGTTAAACCAGGCTGCTCCTTGGAGGCAAGGATTCTGAAACTTTGTCTGACATACTCTGGACATGTTGCAAGTAGGAACCAGTCCTTGGAGAGGGACATCATGCTTGGGACGGTGGAGGGACAACGCAGGAGGGAAAACCCTCTATGAGGTGGTGGATTGATTCAGTGACTGGGGTAATCAGGGTGGGTGTGTCAGAGACAGTGAGATTGGCACAGGATAGAGCAAAGTTTAGGGCTATTGTACATAGGGTCACTATGAGTCACAAGCGACTCGACAGCACATAATAAAAGATGCCAGCTGCCTTCACTGAATTAGTATTTTGGATTATTAGATCATAGACCTATATTTAATATTGTACTGGCTAGTGGGGCAAAATCACTGTAGCTGTTAGTAAGGCAGCTAACATATTAAGAGCTTTCTATATTCTGGGAAGTGTGATAAGCACTTTACTTATATATTCCTTAAGTTATAGCCCTTGATCCTCATAATGATTTTAAAAAGCCTGTTGTTGTTATGTGCCATCGAGTCGCTTGCAACTCATAGCGACTCATAGACCCTATGTATAAGAACCTAAACACCATTCTATCCTGTGCCAATCTAGCCATCTCAAATGCACTCATTCCCACCACTCCAGTCACAGAATCGATCCATCTCATCAAAGGTCTTCCTCTCCTTCGCGGCCCTTCCACTCTGCCAAACATGTTGTCCCTCCCAAGGACGAGTCCCTCCTTGCAACATGCCCAGATTATATTTCAGAATACTTGACTCCAAGGAGCATTCCAGCTTCAACTTCTCCAGGACAAACCTGTTTGTTCTCCTAGCAGTCCATGGTATATTCAACACTCATCTCCAGCCCCACAGCTCAAAGGCATCAATTCTCTTTCGATCATCCCTATTCACTGTCCAACTCTGTGATGCATAGCAAGTAATTGTGAAAACTATAATCCAGATCAGACGCACCATAGTCTCCAACCTGACATCGTTGTTCTTCAATACTCTTGAGAGATCCCTCACAGCCGACTTTCCCAATGCAATTCGTCTCTTGATTTCCTGGCTGCTGTTACCAAGAGTGTTGCCTATGGAGCCAAGTAAATTAAAACTGTTAACTATCTCAATCTCTTCACCATCCATACTGATGCTACCAATTAGCCCAGTGGTGACAATCTTTGTTTTCTTGATGTTGAGCTTCAATCCATATAGGAGGCTTCAGGTTCTCAGTTTCAGCAAGCAGGGCTGTGCCATTTGTATAACGCAGGTTGTTGATGATTCTTCCACCAATCCTGATGCCACATTCCTCCTTGTACAGCCCAGTGTCCTGGATGATCTGTTCTGCATACAGATTGAAAAGGTATGGAGACAGACTACATCCCTGATGGACCCCCTTCTTGATTTTGAACCATGTAGTCTCCTTGCTCTGTTCTGACAACGGCCTCTTGGTCCAAGTATAGGTTTCGCATTAGCACAATCAAATGTTCTGGGATTCCCATTCTTCTCAGAGTCAGCCTCAGCTTGTTGTGATCCACATAGTCAAAAGCCTTTGCATTGTCAATGAAGCACAAATAGACATTCTTCTGGTATTCTTTGCTTTCTGCCAAGTCCATCTAGCATTAGCTACAATATCCTTAGTACCACGACCTCTTCTAAATCCAGCCTGCACATCTGGCAGTTCTCTGTTGACATATTGTTCCAAATGTTTTGGGGTAATTTTCAGCCGAAGCTTGCTTGCATGTGATATTAATGATTTTGGTCGATCATTTCCGCAGTCTGTTGGGTCACCTTCTTATCATTTTACAGATAATGAAGGAAAAAACCAAACAAACAGTATTTCTAGCTATGTAGCCTTAGGCAAACTGCTTACATTGTGACTCAGACTTAATTTGACTTCGTATGATTCAGAATGGTTCTTTGTCTTTGTGCAATATTATGTCCTGTAGAAACTCATTACTGTTGAGTTGGAACCGACTCATAACTGATCCTCCAATGGGTTTCATACAGCCTTTTAGTTGGCAGGGCAACTTTTTTTAGCCAGCGCACCAGAGTTCCCTATAGGGGAAGTCACATTTACGGTCATGACTTACTTTGGATTGTAATTAGTATATCTGTAAACAACTGAGATAAACAACATGTGAAGTAAAAAAAGTTATATACGACAAGTAATTGGTCCTCTGTTGTTTACTCCTGAATGATAATTTTAAACTCCTGGACTTCTTTGAGTAAATTAAGTGCCTTCGTTATGTAGACCTCTAGACTACAACTGAGAGCTTGTGCTCATTGACAGGAGCTGGCCTGATCAGAAAGACCATCATATGGCATAAAATCAGCTGACTGCTGGGAGTTAGGGAGCCAATCTAATTAACTATGATTATAATAAAGCCAATAAAAGGTTTGGATATAGAACTCCATGAGCTTCCTTATTATTGGTGAAACATAAAAATACCTCTAGGAAGGTAGTGTGTGACTTGATACATGAAAGCTCACTGGAAACTTTGAGCCTTTGCCCTTTGTTGGTTGTTGTTGTGTACCGTCAAGTCAGAACCGACTCATAGTTGACCCTTCAACAGGTTTCAGAGGCAGTTAATCGCACAGGATGAGCTTGCCCATCCTTCTCCCATGGAGCAGCTGGTGGCCTTGAACAATGCGTCTTTGGGATAGCAGCACAACTTGTTGCCACTAGGCCACTAGTGTTCCCTTCCATGTCTCTTTATATTCCTTTTTCTATAAAAATTTTGACATTTTAAATATAGCTCGCTCTTTAAGTTCCGTGAATCATTCATTCTAGAGAATTTATCAAACCCAAAGACGTAATGGGTCTGCAGTTAGGAAGCTCGGGGAGACGTCCATGCTTGCAGATTCCAAGAGCATCTTGAAGGTGTGGAGGGAGCTTCATATTTGTAGATAGGATGGGAGGAGTGCAAGTGTCATGTAGATTCACAAATTTGCGACTGATTTATAAATACTAAATAATCTATCTGGTAATCTGAAAGATGACCTTTCAATGTTTGAGAGATAACCTAGCTTGAGCTGGCCAGTATGAGAAAAAGAAGTGTTACGGGGACAGTGTATTTCAATTTTGTATGAAATTTAAAAAATAAAACGTAGAGATTTGTTATATCTTCATAGTAATTGGAGAATGGCATATAAACATTATTGTTGAGAGAGTTAGTTGTTCCTTCTTTATGGCTTTGCCACCTGTTTGCTCATCCCCAGGACCAATACTCATCATTGACACTTGCTAGGATTATATTTGAAAACTGGGTGGACATTTTTTTGATGTTTTTGTTGTTGAGCATCTGCACAGCAAAACATAAATTCAGCAGTTTCTACCAGTCAGAATTCAGTGACACTGATTACATTTATTCATAGTTGTGCAACTATTCTTATTCTTCTAGTCCAAGTTGTTGCTCTTAGCTTAAATTTATTACTGCCTACATTTCCTAATCAGTGTTTCAGGGTGCTATTGTCAGTTTGATCATATAAAAGCACAATGCGTAAGACATTCTTCACAAGTTAAGCTAAGGGGTTTTTTTGAGGGGATTTAAAAAAAAATTTTCTCAGGACAGTAGTTTGAGGAGTTTATCCACTCTCCATTGCTCTAGAAATTGTAGATGTCACAAACTTGCTTCATTCTGCTTTGTGGATTTTTTTTTTCCCTTTTCACCTGGATTCTTTTATAGACTCCTAGCCCAAACAGTTCAGTAACAAATAGTTTGTAGCCAGGAGCCATCCAGTCTGTTAATTGAATTCTAGCAATAGAATCCATTTCTTCCTCTTTTCCTATGTTCTTCCTGTCCCTCTATTGCCTCAGGCAAATAGAGACCAAGTATACCTTACATGTCAACTTAACATAGTTCTTAACACTATATTGAAAGCTGATAATCCTTTATTGTTGTTAGGTACAGTTGAGTGAACTCTGACTCATAGTGGCCGTGGCAACAAAATGAAGCTGTGGACCATCCTCACAGTCTCCACTGTGCTTGGTTGTTATCACTGTGTCAGACCACGGAATCCAGAATCTTCCTCTCTTTTGATGACCCTTTCTTTTTCCACGCACAAAGCTCTTTTCTGAGGACGTGGTCCCTCCTGATAACATGCTCAAAGTACGTGTAGCAAAATCTCACCTCATTGGTTCGGAGGAGCACTTTGGTTACTCCAAGCATTCAGTCTTCCAAGACATATTTCTTTGTTCTTATGGCAGTTAGTGACTTTGGTTTTTAGTGTTGGAGAGGAGTAATGAATAGACCATGAATTACCCAAAGAACTATCACATTTACATTTATCTTGGAGGAGGTACAACTGGCACAGTCCTTGAAAGCAAGGATGCTGAAACATCATTTAACATACTTGAGGTATGTTGTCAGGTGTTGCCAGTACTTGGAAAGACATCATGCTTGGAAAAGTAGTGGGTCGGTGAAAGAGAAGAAGATCTTAAACAAAATGAATTGACACAGTGACAGTAACATTTGGCTTTTATGCATAGTGGAGATTGTGAGGATGGCACAGAATAAGGCAAGGTTTATAGGGTTGTATTAATGAGTTTTTGTTGACTGTGACACCACTGCAGTTCAAAAACTTCAGTTTGTCTTTTGTCTTCTTTATTCACTGTCAATGTTCACATGCATACAGAGTAATTGTAAATACTTTGGCTTGGATTGGACACACCTTCGTTTTAGACTGATCTTTGTTGTTGCTGTTGTGTCGTTAAGTGCCATCGAGTTGGGTACAACTTATAGCAGCCCTGTGAACACAAGACCTGAAACCAATCCTATCCTGCGCATGCCATCCTCACACTACCTGACAAACAAGAGCCCATTGCACCAGTCATCTAGTCAGTCCGCCTAGTTGAGGGTCTTTCTCTTTTTCGCCAACCCTCCACCCTTCCCAACATCATATCCCTCTCCAAGAAATAGCACCTTCTAGCAATATGTCCAAAGTATGTTAGGCAAAGCTTCATCATTCTTGCCTCCAAAGAGCACTACGGCTGCACCCTCTCCAAAACACGTTTATTCATTTTCTTGGCCATCCATGGAATGTTCAGTGCTCTTCTCCAACACCACAGCTCAAAGGTATCAATTCTTTTTCTGTCATCCTTATTCATTGTCCAGGTCACAGATGCATAGCTAGTAATCAGAAAGATGATGGTGTGAATCAGACTCACCTTAGTTATCTGATTCAAAGTGGCGATAGCTGGTCCATCACATCTCACTAATGCCTAGTGTGTCAATATTCATGCGTTCCATTTCATTTTTACCATGATCCAATTTTCCAACATTCAACCTGTAAACATTCCATGTATCAATTGTTAATGACGTTTGTTATTGATTTTCCACATTTCAACTAACTTCCAATCTGGGCTCTACCACTACACTACTATAACTATCCTCTTTGTTTAATGTTATAGCGTTTTCAAAAGCCTTTTATGTAGGAAGTAGATGGCCCATCAATGAAGTCCTTGGCAGGAGACTTGCCCAGTGCAAAACATCATTTGATTTCATGACTCATTTGATTTTTTAACTACTCCTATGAATATTGATTGGTTATCTAAGTAAAATTAAAATTAAGTCACTGAAAAGCTTCCATCTTTCCCCTTTTCATCATAATGTTACTTATTGGTCCAATTGTGAGGATTTTTGTTTTCTTTATGTTGACTGTATAGTCTTCAGTATGAAGGCTATAGTCTTTGGTCTTCTTCAGTAAGTGCTTCAAATCCTCTTCACTTTCAGCAAGCAAAATTGTGTCACCTTTACATCACAGATTGTTGACAAGTCTGCCATCAATCTCAATTCCACATTCTTCGTCATTTAGCTCAGCTTCAGAATACAGATTAAATAGATAATGGTAAAAAGATGCAGCCTTAACACATCTTTCCTGACGTGAAACCATACTCTGTCACCTTGTTCTGTTTGAATGAAGAGAATAGGGTCCATGTACAGGTTCTGCATGAGCACAATGAATTGTTGTGGAATGCCCGATCTTACTGATAGCCATAATTATTATTTTTTTAAAAAAATTTATTATTTTGTGTGAGTGTACCGTCAAATCGAATCTGACTGGTACAGGAGGAGACAGTACCTCCTTCTCCAGCAGAGCATCTGCTGGAGTCGAACTGCTTGCCTCTGGGATTGCAGTGCAAGACAGCCATAATTTTTATCATCTGTGTAGTTGAAGGCCTTGGAAAGTGAACGAAGCACATCTTTCTAGTATTCTGTGCTTTCTGACGTCAACAATTATGTCCTCAGTTTCACGACCTCTACTGAATCATATTTGAATTTTTCAGAGTTCTCTGTTTTACTATTGCAGACATTTTAAAGTTATCTTCTGCAAAATTTTAATTATTTTTATTATATTCATGAAATTGTTCAACAATTTTCACAGTTTTTGAAACAACCTTTCTGAAATAGGCACAAACATGGATTTCTTTCAGTCAGTTGAAGAAGTAGCCGTCTTCCAGATTTCTTGACAAATAGGAGCACTTCCAGGGCTAGAGTAAGTTGTTGAAATACCTCATTTGGTAATCCATTAATTCCTGGGACCTTATATTTTACCAATGCTTTCAATGCAGACTAGATTCCTCCTTCATTACCATGAGGTTTTGATCATATGATACTTCCAGAAATGGATCAGTATCAATTATTTTTTTGTACAGTTCTATATATTCCTTCCATCTTCTTTTAGTACTATATTCCATATCTTACCTATAGAGTCCTTTAGCATTGCAACTTGAGATTTGATGTTTTTCTTCAGATCTTTCAGATACAGAAATGCCAAGTGAGTTTACTTCCCTTTTGGGCTTTTTCTCCATTGGTCTCTATATCTTTGTACACTTCTTTGTAATACTCTGCTTTGTCTTCTCAAGCTGCCCTTTGAAATCTATTCAATTAATGTGTGAGATGTTTAAAACTATGTACTCATTTTAGTGGTTATGGTTATGTTAGGGATGCTGTGTTGTTAGGTACTGAAAAGCTGCTCTAATTCAAACTGACCCCAACACACATGGCCAGTCCTGCACCATCCTAACAGTCACCATGGTGCCTGTTATTCCAGCCACTGGGTTGTGCACCTGTTTGAAAGTTGTTATGTGTCCGTCGAGTGTGACTCATAGGGACCCTATGAACAAAAGATCTGAACTCTGGCCTCTCTTATGCCAACCTCACAATCACTGACAAACTACATTCTTAAGCCCGTTGCTATATTCACTGTATCAGTCCACCTGGTGGAGGATCTTTCTCTCTTTCACCACCCTTCCTCCTTTCTATGCATAATGTCCTTCTCCAAGGAATACCCTTTCCTAGAAACATGTCCAAAGTATGTGAGACAAAGCTTTGCCATCCTTACCTCCAAGCAGCTGCACTTTCTCCAAGACATATCTCTGTTCTTTTGATAGCCCATGGGATATTCAGTACTCTTCCTCAACACCACAGTTCAAAGGCATCAGTGCTTCTTCTGTCATCCTTATTAATTATCCAGCTTTCAGCAGCATAGCAAGTGATCGAAAAGACCATGGTCTAAACCAGGCACACCTTAGTTCTCAACGTTTAAGAAATTTTTGTTTATGTGTTTTTTTCTTTTTTCTGACTCAGGAAGACGTAGATAAACTAGAAGAGACCACAGAGTCAATGACTGAGAATATTGAGAGCCTGAAGAACAAAATTCAAGTTCTGACAGCTGAGGTGGAAAAAAAAGAGAAGAAGTTAAAACAGGTAATTGTTAAAAAAACGGCACTGCTGGTATCTGGATCTAACTTTTTTTTAGTATCTAACTTCTTTTTTTTAACATTTATTTTTTAAATTTATTATTAATTTCAATGAAAATTTACCGAGACTTTGGATTTCCATTCATTCACTGTTGCACTTTTCTCCCTTCCCAACCCTTCCCCCTAGTATACTACCCTTTTGGAAAAGTAAAAGAAAAATTCTTTCATTGTTTTACAGTCCCTCCCCTCAGGTCCATTCCACTATGCAGCCTTCACTCTGGACTCCTGTCATGACAAAATTACCTAATCACATATCCCTTTTAAACAGTTTTCTCCCTCATCTGTTTCAATGCAGTATATATTATTGAACCCATCTTTCTCAGTCTCCCCCCAAC